AGAGCACAGAACTCGGGGTACAGGGGACTGCAGTGAGTGGGGTGGTGCGCCTCTGTCTGACACGGGAGCCTCCTGTCTTTGCCAGCATCCATGCGCCTGCCCAGGCTGCAGTGCCAGCTGCAGGCCGGGTAGAAGGAGAGCCCCTCCACAGTCCTTGACGGGGCAGACGTGCGGGCCGCACTGCCTAGGACGGGGGGCAGACGTGCGGGCCGCACAGCCTAGGACGGGGAGCAGACGTGCGGGCCTCACCGCCTAGGACGGGGTGGGGGCAGACGGGGCGGGGCAGACGTGCGGGCCGCACCGCCTAGGACGGGGGACAGATGTGCGGGCCGCACCGCCTAGGACAGCTGTGCAGCTGGGAAAGCAGCAGGCCCTCCCCTGCACTTAGGACCGGCAGCACCATCACTGGGGCCAGGCTGACACCCACCTGTGCGGCATCCCCGGCCTGGCGGGAGGGAGGCCCTTCCTGGGTGATCGTGGGATCTCGTGGCCATGGGTGGCTCCAGAACCCACGTTCATAGCACCCTGTTTCCGCTCCAGCAGGCACTTTCTCTTGCCGTTCACGGCCACGGGAGCTGCCTGGCGTGTCTGTGAGACAGGAAAGGCCGGGCGACACGGATGAACACGAGCAGACTCACGTTAGGTGTGTTTTCCTCGGACCAGGCACGTGCCGAGAGTGTTTCAGGAAGTGGCTCATTCAATCCTCGGGACAGAGCCATGAGTGAGGTCTCACTGCCCCAGCGAGGCTGCGGCTGGGTGGGGCTCAGTCAGTGGCCTTTTCCTGCCCCTGGAGGGAAGGGAAGAGGGGCAGGCAGAAGAGCTTCGCTGATTTCCTAGTGTGAAATGGGTTTACTTCATTTCCAACCCGTCTCTCAGTGCTCAGCATCTCGGTACCCTCTGTGGGTGGCACATCAGAGCACCCTAACTTCAGAAAAGTGTCTTTGGGGCCGGCGCTGTGGAGTAGTGGGCTAAGTCTCCGCCTGCGGTGCCGGCATCCCGTATGTACACTGGTTCCTGTCCCAGCTGCTCCTCTTCCGATCCAGCTCTCTGCTGTGGCCTGGGAAAGCAGAAGATGGCCCAAGTGCTTGGGCCCCTGCACCTTCGTGGGTGATCCGGAAGAAGCTCCTGGCTTCGGCCTAGCCCAGCTCTGGCCATTGTGGTCATTTAGGGAGTGAACCAAGGGATGGAAGACCTTTCTCTCTGTCTCTCTATGTAACTCTACTTCTCAAATAAATAAATGTCTTATTAAAAAAAAAAAGTGTCTTTGGGCTGGCGCCGCGGCTCACTAGGCTAATCCTCCGCCTTGCGGCGCCGGCACACCGGGTTCTAGTCCCACTCGGGGCGCCGGATTCTGTCCCGGTTGCCCCTCTTCCAGGCCAGCTCTCTGCTGTGGCCCAGGAGTGCAGTGGAGGATGGCCCAAGTGCTTGGGCCCTGCACCCCATGGGCGACCAGGAGAAGCACCTGGCTCCTGCCTTTGGATCAGCGCGGTGCGCCGGCCGCGGTGGCCATTGGAGGGTGAACCAACGGCAAAGGAAGACCTTTGTCTCTCTCTCTCACTGTCCACTCTGCCTGTTAAAAAAAAAAAAAAGTGTCTTTGGAAGCAGGCACTTCACTAGCAGTTGAGACATCTGTGTTGTTTTTTGTTTGTTTGTTTTTAAAGGTTTATTTATTTGAAGGCAGAGATACAGAGAGACAAGGACACACACACACACAGATCTTCCATTCACTAGTTCACTCCCCAGATGAATGCAATGGCCAAGGCTGAGCCAGGCCGGAGCCAGGAACCAGGAGCTTCCTCCGCATCTCACATGTGGGTGCGGGGCCCCTGAAGCACTCGGGCCATCTTCTGCTGCTTTCGCAGTTGCATTAACAGGCACCTGGCTTGGAAGTGGAGCAGCCGGGACTTGAACTGGCACCCAAACGGGCTGCAGGCACTGCAGGCAGAGGCTTAGCCTTCTAGGCCACGGAGCCAGCCCCTACACCATTCGTTAGGACACCTGTGACCCACGTCAGTGCGCTGGGTGCACTTTGCAGCTCCTGAGTCCGGCTTCCTGCCAGTGCCATCCCGGGACACTGGTGATGGCCACAGGGTTGGGCTCCTGCCACCCATGTGAGAGCCCCGGATTGCGTTCCCGGCTCCCAGCTTTGGCCCTGGCCCTGGCCCAGCTTCCGCCCACTCACCCCCACCGCATCACCTTCCTCAGAGCCTGGGAACCTCTCAGAGAGGCAGCACGGGGCCGGGCCTGCCCTACGCGGCCATCTCGGCTCCCAGCCTGGCCCGTGGTGAAAACAGCTGACACAGCCATGCCGAGGACCTCCGAGGTGGCAGGCGTCTGCTCAGGGCTCCTTGTTCCTGGCTGAAGAGCAGCGAAATGGAGGCAAAGGAGACCTGGGGGATTTTCCCAGCCCACGCTGCAGCCAGGATCGTCCGCGGCTGGAAAGCACCACTGGGCTCTGGGAACTCCCGAGACGTCACTGCCGTCACTCGGCACAGCGGCCCCGTCCGGCCAGTCCCGCGAATGAGCCATGGATTCCAGACCTGGCTCTGCCGCCGCCGAACAGCTGTGTGACCCCGGCCAATCCCCGAGACCCCAGAGCACGTGTGCAGTCAGGACGGCCCCTGGGCCCCGGCCCCTGGCTCTTCTCTGTCCCTGCAGAGCCCCAAGCCCACCCATCTCCCAGGACATTTGGGGAGCACCTCCACGCCAGGGTGGCGTCCTTGGCCCTGGCCACACGGTGCTTCCACGCACTCCCCTCACTGGCCCCAGGAGCAGTCTTCAGCGCTGGGGCGGCTGGGTGCCTCCGCTGGGTCACAGTCACCCCGCAGCCCCTGGAGATGAAGGGCTGAGGTGCCCACGTCACTGTCCACGGAACCAGACCTCCTCGTGGACACTCAGGGCCCCGGGCTCCCCCTGCCTCTGCTCCTGCTGGTCCTGGACTGACTCTGCCTCCTCCCCTGACCTGCCTGGTACACGCTGGGGCCTCCTCTCTCCCCCGTGCTTTCCCACGGCCAGAGATGTCCCCTGTGTCTGCAGGACACTGTCGTCTCCTGTCTGACCTGGGTTCACGTGTCTCCAGGCATCTGAGAGTCAGCAGGTGCCACACAGAGCTTCAGGCCCCCAGGGGCTCAGGCCAGACACCGGGAGCCATTCCCGCCACCTGCCTCTCCAGGACCCTCTCTCCAGTCTCCACATCCCTCCTCCAGCTTCATCGCCATGAGCTCCAGCTGTTATCTCTCCTGGGATGAAGGCAGCCCCGTTGTGAAGAAAGTAAAACCCAAGGGGCCGGCGCTGTGGTGTAGTAGGCTGAGCCTCTGCCTGGGGTCTGACATCCCGTGTGGATGCTGGTTCGAGTCCCGGCTGCTCCTCTTCCATCCAGCTCTCTGCTATGGCCTGGGAAGCAGTGGAGGATGGCCCAAGGCCTTGGGCCCCTGCACCCACATGGGAGACCCGGAAGAAACTCCTGGCTTCGGAACATCATTGTGGCCATTTGGGGAGTGAACCAATGGATAGAAGACCTCTCTCTCTCTTCTCTCCTCTCTGTGTAACTCTTTCAAATAAAACAAATAAATCTTTTAAAAAATTGAGGATGTTCTTAGTTTTAAGACAACAAATTCTCACTACGCCTCTCCCAGCTCCACTGCTGTCCCCCACCCCACCCCATTGCTCCGCTGGCCTCTCTGCAGATCCTGGAAGGCTGGAATCTCTACCCGCCTCGGCCCCTCAGCCCCTCGGCCCCTCGGCCCCTCGGCCCCTCGGTAAACAGCCTCTTTTTCGGTCCTCTTAATTCGGGTCTCCTGCAGGCTCCCCTCAGTCACCCTCCAGCTTCCAGGAAAATGTCCTTCCTGCGAGAGGGGTTCCTGGCCCCCCAGCCCTCCCCCCGCTCGCGGTGCCAGCACCCACTCCGCTGTGAGCACGGTTGGGCGAGTGCTGACCGCTCGCGTGCCCAGCCCGGCGAGGGCACACCTGGCTGCTTGGCAGGCAAGCGCCCGGCACGTGGCAGGTTCTGTTAGTTGGATGACCAGACCCCCATCTCACAGGGAGAAAAACTGAGGCTTGGCGGGAGTAACTGCAAGCCAGGAGGGTTTGACGGTGCTTCGTGCCAAGGTGCGCCACGGGCCGCTCTGGCCAGGGGAGGGCTGGGTTCAGATGAGTGTGAGGGAAAAAATGAACAAAAAATGCTCGGCCCGCGCCTGGCAGGTGCTAAGCATTCAGTATTATTCCTGGCCTCAGTGTGTGACCGGAGCCAGCGGCGGGCGGGGCGTGTGTGTGTGTGTGCGCGCGCGCGCCCCTCACAGCCCTTCCTGGATTCCAGCAGCAGGGACCCCTGGGGACCCAGGGAAAGCTCCATACCCAGCCCTGCAACACGGGCTGCACTGAGCAGCACTGTGCCCACCGGGCAGCTCAACCAGGCTCCCCAGAGGGTCTCAGAGCAGAAAACCAGGCGCTCCTTCAACAGGTGGGAGAAGCTGGCCCTGAGCTCCTCCCTGGCGCTCCGGGGGAGGGCTGGAGAGCCCCTCCCTTGGCAGTGCCCCCTGCTGGGGTCTGTGAGTCACAGACAGATGCTGGGGTCTCCCCGCAGCCCCCCTGCTGTGGCCTGGGCCCGGGACACTGCCGCTTCCCCTCCTGGCCAGTCAGGCCCAAACTCAAGACCCCTCCCCAGCCCCTGCCAGCCCCTGCCCGGGGGCCCTGCCGTGCCCCTCCCCAGCGCCCTGGCTCTCAAGCAGCCCCCCCCCGCCCCCCGGCTGTTAGCCTGGGAAGGGGGCCAGGCCCTGAGCTCAGACCTTGGCGATTCGAGTGTCTGAGGCCCAGAGCCAGCCCCGCCAGCCAGGCCAGACGAGGGGGAGGGGGAGATGGCAGGGTGGGCACCAGGAAGCCGCTTCGGGGGCGGCTGGCCGGGGGGGAGGGGCTGCCCGGGGGGGGGGGCTGGGTGTGCAGCTTTGTTCTTCGGACCCGGCGGCTCCTTCCTGGGACGTCGCCGCGCTCCGGTCCTCAGCACCGGGCAGAAGTGACCTCGGGACTGGGAGACCCCCACACGTGCCAGGGAGGCTGGGAGGGCCCCGACCGTCGGAATGGCCCGGGGCAAGGCTCATCCGCTCCGCCAGCCCCGGTCTCCCGCTCCGCGGGGCGCGGCGCGGTCTCCGCAGGCTCCGGCCCCGCCCGGAGGAATCCGGCGGCGCGGCCGCGGGTCCCAGGTGAGGCCCCCTGGAAAGCGCCCAGCGCGCGGCCCGGCGAGGGCGGGCATCTGGGGTGGGGACCGCCCCCCGGCCTCCGCCCGCCCGCACACCCTCGCCGCTCCGGGCGGCGGCGACGACGCTTTAAACAGAAAAAAAAAGAAAGAAAGAAAAAAAAAAAAAAGAAAAAAAAAAACTCTCTCCCTGGCCCGGGGCCAGCGTCCCAGCCCCCCTCGCCGCAGCCGCGCCGCTCTCCAGCCGAGAAAACAACTGCTCACTGCTGCTGCGTCCGCCGCGCGCGCCCTTGCTGCCCCGCGGCCGCGGGACGGAGCCGGCCGGGGAGGCGCGCCGCGGGCGCCGCGGGCCTCGCTCCTCCTCTCCGCCGGCCTCGCCGCTGCGGCCTCCGCGCCGCGCCGGGCTGCGCCTTCCCTCCTCCTCCTCCCCCCGGGCCCCGAGCACTTTCTGGGCCCCGCGCAGCCCGGCCTCCATCTCGAGGTCGCCTCTCCGGTCCCCTCGCCCCCCGCCGCCCGCTCGCGCGCCACAGCCCAGGGCCCTCGGGCGCCGGGCCCCAAGCCCCGGCCCGTGCGCGCCCGCCGGGCTCCCGCGGCCCCGCATGCCCGGGCCGCCCGGGGCTGCCGGCGGCCCGGCTCCTGAGATGCGCGGGGCGGGGGCGGCGGGGCTGCTGGCGCTGCTGCTGCTGGCGCTGCCCGGCCCGGGCGGCGGGGCGGCGGGGGGGCCGGCGGGCGAGCGCGGCGCCGGCGGGGGCGGGGCGCTGGCCCGCGAGCGCTTCAAGGTGGTCTTTGCGCCCGTGATCTGCAAGCGGACCTGTCTCAAGGGCCAGTGCCGGGACAGTTGCCAGCAGGGCTCCAACATGACGCTCATCGGAGAGAACGGCCACAGCACCGACACGCTCACGGGCTCCGGCTTCCGCGTGGGTGAGGGCCGGGCCCCGGCTGGCGGGCGCGCGCGGGCGTGGACGGACAGACCCCGGGCCGGGATCTGCGGGACCCGTAGGAGCCAGGGGTCCAGGGGCGCAGAGCTGGGGCCCTGAGGCCTTGGAGGGGGGGAGTCTGGAGTCCTGGGGGCTCATGGAGGCCTGGACTTGGAAGTTGGACGACAGAACCGGGCTGGCCCAGGCGCCGAGAGGGAGGGTGCGGGGTGTGCTGGGGTGTGAGCTGAGGGCAGGAAGTCCCAAAGGGTACACACTCCCCCAATAACGCAGGCTTTGTAAAATGCCCACAGCCGGGCCTGCTGGGCAGACACCTGCCTCGGCTGGGACGGAGGAGCAAGGCCCCCTGGGAGTGAGGGAGTTAGGCACAGACGTGGAGGCCTAGGGAGTGGGGTCCCCAGCCCCCGCCTTTCCTGTACCACCCCAGGAGCGTCCAGCATCCCTGCTCTGAGGCCCTCCCCACTCAGCCCCCCCCCCCAGCATCTTTCTTCCGAAAGCCAGGCCTGGGGCTCAGCCCTGTGGGCCAGGCCGGGGGGAGGTGTCCCAGCAGTAATTACCCTCCTGGACAGGGTAATTAGACCGAGCCCAGGATGGCACCAGCGAAACAGCCCCTCTCGACACATTCCTGCACTCACAGACCCGAGGAACCCCCTCTTGTGGCTCCCGGTTCCCAGGAGCTGGGGGGGCGGTGTCTGTGCACGTGGGGGGCATGCAGAGCGGGGGGGGGGGGCTGTGATTAAGTGCCTGTCTGTGTGTCTCGGCTGCGTCTGCGAGGGCGCACATGGGCGTGTTTACATAGTGAGCCGGTGCCGGTGTCAGGATGCGTCTGTGTGTGTGTGACCAGATGGGGATGCGTGTGAGCGGGTGTGGGCCCAGCCTCCCAGGCCCCCTGGCCGTTCCTGCCAAGGCTGCTGTCTCCGTCCGTGCTGCCCACATCCCCCAGGCTCAGCGCCCAGGCCACAGTGGGCGGGTGTCACTGGGAGGTCACCCTCACCGCTGCGGGTGACTCACTGGGAGGCAGGAAGGAGAGGCCTCTGCCTCCCCCGGCCCAGGACACACCCCTCCTGCCCTGAGAGCCCTGGCCCCAAGAGGCCGGCCAGGATGGGCTGGGCCGGGCTGCTCTCCGCTTGACCCTGAAGGTCGAGCATGGCAGCTGTCCCTCTGGGGCCTCTCGTGTGTCCAGGAGAGCGGCACCCCCACCTTCCCACTCTGGGAAGCGAAGGCAGCCGAGAGCTCAGGTGTGAGTTTTTGTTTTTGTATTAAAGAGGTGTTTATTTGAAAGGCAGAGTTAGAGAGAGAGAGAGAGAGAGAGAGAGAGAGAGAGAGAGAGAGATCTTCCACCCGCTGATTCACTCCCCAAATGGCCACCACATCCGGGGCTGGGCCAGGCTGCAGCCAGGAGCCAGGAGCTCCATCCAGGTGTCCCACGTGGTGGTAGGGGGGCTCAGAGCACTTGGGCCAACCTCTGTTGCCTTCCCCGGTGGCCTTAGCAGGGAGCTGCGTCGGAAGTGGAGCAGCTGGGGCTTGAACCGGGGCTCCCATGGGATGCCGGCAGCTCAAGATGGCTGCTTAGCCCCCTGCGCCACAGTGCCGGCCCCCACCTAATCACTTCGCCATCCATTCCCTCTGCACGTTCTCTGGGACTCCTGGCTGAGGCGGACCTGGGCCTGCCCCTCCCAGGCACCCTTTGTAGTGGGGGAGGCTGCAACCAAGCCGGGTGCCAGGCAGGGCCAGGCCGAGGGTGGGCGCTCGGGAGCGGGGGCAGGGCTGGCTCCCTCCCCGGCGCAGCTGGGGCAGCACGGGTGAGATTTGACTCTGCGGAGCTGGGGGAAGGGGCACCCGGGGAGGAAGGAGTGGAGCCCTGGTGTGTGGGGTGCACATGGGGGAGAGAGGGGGCGGGGCCGGGGAAGGTTCTGGGCCGGGAAGAGCCTGGAATGTCTGAGCAGGGAGGCCGCGGTGAGCCGGGCTGTGCAGTGCCAGAGCTTTGCCTCAGGCCAGTTTCTCTGCAGAGGCTGGGACTGTGGACGGCCTGGGCCAGAGAGAGGGGCAGGAGCCAGCGAGGGGTCTGAGCGGGAGGCCCGCCCGAGCCGGGGAAGGAGGCCGAGGCCGTGGGGAGACCCAGCTCAGTCACGCCCCAGTGGTGACCCCGGGGCAGCGGGGGATGCTGACTTGTGGCCGTGGGAAAGGGGTCTGTACCTGGCAGGACTGAGGGGCGGGCTCCGGGGTGTCCAGGCAGAGGCAGGGAGGGAGCAGAAAACTGACCTAGGCAAGAGGAGGCGGAGGTGCCAGGGAGGAGTGGGCCCTTCGCCACCAACACAGCGCCCCCTGCGGACCCCACAGAGCAGAGGCCCCTCTCCCCAGCGGGCACCTGGCCTGCCCGCCTTGGGCCGTAGGGTGTTGGGAATCCAGACTGCACGGTTCCTCTGGAGAGATGTGTGGTCAAAACCAGCTCCCCGCGGAGTTGGGCAGGGAGGCGGGGCGGCCGTGGGCGAGGGTCGGCCTGGGCCCTGACCCCCCTCCCCTCCGCAGTGGTGTGCCCCGTGGTCAAAACCAGCTCCCCGCGGAGTTGGGCAGGGAGGCGGGGCAGCCATGGGCGAGGGTCGGCCTGGGCCCTGACCCCCCTCCCCTCCGCAGTGGTGTGCCCCGTGGTCAAAACCAGCTCCCCAGGGAGTTGGGCAGGGAGGAGGGGCAGCGTGGGCGAGGGTCGGCCTGGGCCCTGACCCCCCTCCCCTCCGCAGTGGTGTGCCCCCTGCCCTGCATGAATGGCGGGCAGTGCTCCTCCCGCAACCAGTGCCTGTGTCCGCCGGACTTCACCGGGCGCTTCTGTCAGGTGCCCGCCGGAGGAGCCAGCGGGGCCAGCGGCGGCGCAGGTCCCGCGCTGGGCCGAGCCGGGGCCCTGTCTACAGGCGCGCTGCCGCCCCTGGCTCCGGAGGGCGAGTCTGTGGCCAGCAAGCACGCCATCTACGCCGTCCAGGTGATCGCCGACCCTCCCGGGCCGGGGGAGGGGCCCCCTGCCCAGCATGCAGCCTTCCTGGTGCCCCTGGGGCCGGGACAGATCTCAGCGGAAGGTACCAGGCGACGGGCAAACCCGGGGAGGCCGAGGTGGGCGGGCATCAGGGCGGCCGGGCCCGGGCGAGGGGCGCGGGGCAGCCCTGAGGCCACCGCGCCCCGCCCCCCAGTGCAGGCCCCGCCCCCCGTGGTGAACGTTCGCGTCCACCACCCGCCCGAGGCCTCGGTGCAGGTGCACCGCATCGAGGGGTCCAACGCCGAGGGCCCGGCCCCCTCCCAGCACCTGCTGCCGCACCCCAAGCCCCCGCACCCCCGCCCACCCACCCAGAAGCCCCTGGGCCGCTGCTTCCAAGACACGCTGCCCAAGCAGCCTGTGAGTGACGCGCATGCGACCGGCCCTTTGGGCCTCTTGGGGTGGCCCTGCAGGCTGGAGGGCGGGGAGGGGTGCGAGCCTCGGGGTGAAGGTGGCTCTGTGACCCCTCCCCCCACGCCCATCCCCCCGCCAGTGTGGCAGCAACCCCCTCCCCGGCCTCACCAAGCAAGAGGACTGCTGTGGCAGCATCGGCACCGCCTGGGGCCAGAGCAAGTGCCACAAGTGCCCCCAGCTGCAGTGTGAGTGCCCGGGGCCCCCCCACGCCCCGCCCTCAGTGCGGGTCCCCAGCCCAGCGCCCACCAGGCTCCTCTGTGTGCTCTGCCCCCACCCCCGTGCCCTCCCTTGCCCCCAGCTGCAGTGTGAGTGCCCGGGCTCAGCGGGCGCCCCCCATGCCCCGCCCTCAGTGCGGGTCCCCAGCCCAGCGCCCACCAGGCTCCTCTGTGTGCTCTGCCCCCACCCCCCCATGCCCTCCCTTTCCTGCCACAGGCCCCCAATGTCCACCCCCTAAACCACCCCCATCCTCTCCTCTCTCTGCAGACACAGGGGTGCAGAAGCCAGGGCCTGTCCGTGGGGAGGTGGGCACTGACTGCCCCCAGGGCTATAAGAGGCTGAACAGCACCCACTGCCAGGGTACGGCCAGCAGCAGGCCCGGTGGGAGGGGCAGGTCACTGGGGGTGGTCCCAGGGTGGCCGAGGGGGGGCTGGGGGCTGGGGCTGGACCCTGTGGTTCTGGGAGCACTTTACTGCCGCCTGTGGCCGTGGGATACAGGGACCCAACCCCCACCCCCAGACATCAACGAGTGCGCGATGCCCGGCATGTGTCGCCATGGTGACTGCCTCAACAACCCTGGCTCCTACCGCTGCGTCTGCCCGCCCGGCCACAGCCTGGGCCCCTCCCGCACACAGTGCATTGGTGAGACCGCGGGGGGCACAGGGCCCTGGGAAGTCACAGGCATGTGGGGGGGGGCTCTAAGCAGCAAGGGTCGGAGGTCACAAGAGATGCGAGTGGGGGCAAAGGCAAGGCCCAGAGCAGACGGGGTGCAGGGCATGTGGGGTCAGGGAGTCTCTGGCGTCAAGGTCACGGAGACCTTGAGCTTGACGAGGAGGGGGCGGGGACAAAGTCCAGGGCAGTTAGAATCGGGGTTCAGCGCGATTAGGGCCACAGAGGATTCTGGGATCACGGGACATTAGGGTCACAGGGGGTCAGGGGCCACATGTGGATGGAAGGCTGCCTAGGCCTGACGTGCGAGGTCTGGAGCAGTGGGCAGAGGTGCCCACACCCCCTCTGCCCCTGCAGCGGACAAGCCGGAGGAGAAGAGCTTGTGTTTCCGCCTGGTGAGCCCGGAGCACCAGTGTCAGCACCCACTGACCACGCGCCTCACCCGCCAGCTGTGCTGCTGCAGCGTGGGCAAGGCCTGGGGCGCGCGGTGCCAGCGCTGCCCAGCAGATGGCACTGGTGAGCCGGGGCGGGGCGGGGCGGGGCGGGGCTGGGGGCCGCTACCCCTGCCGCACCTGGGCGGCGCTCACCTGGGGGGCTCTCTCGTCTTCACCGCAGCTGCCTTCAAGGAGATCTGCCCAGCTGGGAAGGGGTACCACATCCTCACCTCCCACCAGACACTCACCATTCAGGGCGAAAGCGACTTTTCTCTTTTCCTGCACCCTGATGGGCCACCCAAGCCCCAGCAGCCCCCTGAGAGCCCCAGCCGGGCGCCGCCACCTGAGGACGCAGATGAAGAGAGAGGTCGGGCCTGACCCGTCCTGTTCCCTGACCCGTGCCGAACCCCCAAGCCTGCGCTTTGGCCCAGAACTTTAACCCCGAGCTGTAACCTCCTATGCCTTGATGGCTAACCCAGTGACCTTGCTCAACCATCGCTCCTTAGGCCTGGTCCTCTGGGCACTGAGCAAACTCACCCTAGCCCAGGGTCCAAC